TACAGCAAATTAAGAAAGATCTAGAATCTTGGAATAAGTTGCAGCTTTCTTTACTGGGAAGGATTGCCACAATCAAAATGAACATTTTACCAAAACTCCTTTACTTATTCCAGACAATCCCAATAAAATTATCAAAAAATTTTTTTGATGATATAAATAAGGTAACTCTTAAATTTATTTGGCAAGGGAAAAAAGCTAGAATCAGTATTAAGGCCTTACAAGATGCAAAAAGTAGAGGTGGGCTAGCGCTTCCAAACTGGGAATTATATTATTGGGCAGCCAACTTACTATGGTTAAAAGACTGGGTCAATTTACGGAATAAAAGAACTCTAGCCTTGGAAGGGCACGACCTTCAGAGAGGATGGCACGCATTTCTATGGGATGTGGGGAAAACTAAACAGGCGTACTTTCATAGACATCTTATTAGAGATTCACTATTAACTAATTGGAAAAAAATATGTAAAAAACATTATTTAAAAATTCCGATTTGGCTTTCAACAATGGAGGCAATGGTTCATCCCAACAATTTGGATATAACAAAAACGACTAAATATAAAGATTTATTAGATCCTTTAGGAAAATTAAGAACTCGACAGGACTTACAGGAACAGGGATTTAAAATTGATCAGTGGTTATATATACAAATCCATAGTAGATACAAACAAGATATCAAAGAGTTTGGAATCTATAGCAAATTACAACACTTAGATAAAATCTTATTAGGATCAAATAAAAAGAATATCTCTAAATTTTATAAATATTTATTGGAGGTAGAATTAGAGCAAGAGATAGTGAAAGGGAACATGATAATGTGGAGTAGGAATATTGGAAGAAGCATTACATTAACAGAATGGGAAAAGATCTCGAATAGAATCATTAAGATTACGAAATCTGCGGCGTACAAAGAAAATATGTATAAAATGTTATATAGATGGCACTTACCCCCTTCAAGGTTAGCGAAAATGAACCCAAACTCTAGTCCAAAATGTTGGAAATGTAAAAACATAGAGGGAACCTACTTTCATATGTGGTGGACCTGTAAAGAAGCCCAGAAATACTGGCAAAAAATTAGAAAATGGCTGGAGGAGATAACCAAAGATCAAATTGAATATAAACCAGAGTTCTTCCTACTAGGGATTTCTGATAAACATTTTCCTAAAAAGACGAAATATATAATAATTCATATTCTAACTGCGGCCAGATTAGCATTTGCTCAGTGCTGGAAATCATCCCGTTTACCTACAGATCAATTGGTCATTCAGAAAATATGTGACTGCGCAGAAATGGACAATTTAACCATAGCTCTTAAAAATAAAGAGTCTTCAGCATTTGATAATAATTGGAATGCATGGTATAATTGGTTATATCAGAGATAAACTGTTCAATGAGCATAAATAAGCATAAATATCCATAAATAGCGATAAGATGTGTATATTTAAAGTAAGAGAAGAATTGGAGAATTGGATCTTGTAGACTGTCAAAAAGAATATTTGTCTGGTTTTAACGTATTTTCTTTTTTCTTCCGTTTCTTTGTTTTTTTTTTTTGGTTTTTTTTTTCTCTCTTTTATACTCCTTTTTCTCCTTTTTCGGTCGCAAGACCGAGCGTTTGTTTTTTTTTTTCTTCCTCTCTCTTTCTCTTCTTTCTTTCTTCTTTTTCTCTCTCTGTTTCTTATGTAATGTTGTTATGTTATTTTTTTAATTGTAAATTCAATAAAATTTATATGCAAAATTTGCCAGTGCCATCCATCCATCCACAAAATATGAGAGAAAGCTATCACATTAATGAAACAAATACAGTTGATTGGAAGTAATTTTATCACATTTTAAGTAATTAATTTACATTTAATTAATTTAATGAGATTTTAATTCTGATTCAATTTGAATTAAATACAAGCAAATAACTATCTTACAGCATTTGCTTTGTTTGCTTTTGTCCTAGCCTCCGCCCTGCTTTTACCTGATCTTGTTTCCTTCTTGAAATGTAGCCTCCAGCACTACTGTTAAAAGATGAGTACATTCTTGGTTCTTGATTAAAGCCAAAAAAGCTCCTCAGAAAGTTATGAGTTTCTAGTTTCAAAACTTCAGAAAGAGAAAGAGACATCCCCCATAGGTATCAAAGTCAACACAAGAAAATTGGTCCTGTCAACATAAAGATCAGTTGGCATAAGGTAGAGCTAAAAATTAATAGTCCCATTTTGAATTCAGTGATCTGTCACTCAAGAGAGGATATGTTTAAAACTGAACCTTTCAACATCTATTATGAATGTGAACTGTTTACTTCAGTGTTAGCAATGCTAAATTTGTGGTGCCTCGTGGAGGATTTGAGTTTAGGGGGGTTCAGATTCTCATTTCTGTGGCTTGGTATTTTTCAGAATAGATCAAATGATCTTTTAGCAAATGTTATGACAGCTTCTCTGTCATGAAAAATGCATTGAAAATTGATTTGTTTGTAGATTTGTTTCACTGCAAAAGTTATTTTCTTATACACATGTAAACTCTGCATGGGTATACAGAAAGATGATCAAAAGTCAAAAACTCAATATGATGCTACAATTGTGCAAACAAAGTTCTACCTGTAGATGGATAGATAAATAGACAGACACACAGACAGATGATAGATAATTGTAGATGTAGATATAAATGATATCGATAAAATATAAATGAAGAGATACAAACATATAACCTTTTTATATATAAAAATAGTTGGAGCTTTGTTTGCCTCACCCTAGCCAGTAACTTACTTTTAAGTATGCCCAATCAATACCCCAGCACTTTAGTCTGATATTTTTGGACATCCTGAGACACTACTTATTTAACACAATCATTTTGAGGAAAATCAGTTCATTTGCACATAAAGTTCTTTAACAATGCAGAATAGTATTAATATAATATATTCATTATTTTAATCAATGGAGACCAAACACTTTTAATGTCAGTTAAAATTCACACATGTAAATATATTTTATTTATACTTATAAACAGATAAATTATGCTGTTTATTTTCTTGTGGGTTAAAAAATAATTCTTAATATAGCAATAGCACGTATATACTACTTCATAGTGCTTTATAGCCCTCCCTAAGCAGTTTACAGTTTATTCCCTAACCAGTTTAAAACAATCTGGGTCCTCATTTTACTGACCTTGGAAGGATGGAAGGATGAGTCAATCTTTTGCCAGTGAGAAATGAATTGCTGGCAGTCAGCAGAATTAGCCTACAATACTGCATTCTAACCAATGCACCACCATAGCTCTTAAGATGCCAAGATGCTTGGTTCTAACTTGGTAAACCATCCAGACATTTAGGAGCTAAATTTTGCAGTATTGTAGCATTCCATCAGCAATTTTCATAGATTCCGGTTTTGCTATTGCTAATTGTTCGTGATTCAATATACCGCCTGTCTGTTCTGCTTCATGCTGAGATTATTTCTCAGCAATTGCCCATTTATAACACATTTAGCTAGCTTGGTTGTATTGTCTCAGCTATTGTCATCAACTCCTCATTCAAAGCCTAGAATTAGATTGTTATTGTGCAGGATCAAGCTATTTCTCACTGTGTCAGTCTATTGCTCATCAATTTGTCATTAAAGGACTGGTTCAAACAGCTATTTCATGTCTTGCCGGGTTATTGCTTTTCACTACCTCTTTCAATAAGCATTTGGCTAACTAATACTAGGCCAATATCCATATGTAAAAAGGATGTGAAATGGGGAGCAAAGTTGTGTAGAACAGGCATAAACAACTTGATGTCTTCCAGATATTTTGGATTACAACTTCATTTCCTTGCTATTGGCCATGCTTGTTGAGGCCAATAAGAAATATGGTTCACAATATCTAAAGTGGCCTAGTTGTATACATCTGGCACTTTTCACTAGATAAAAGAGAATGAATCTCAAATGCAATATAGGAATTCTGGTGGGGGGTTTTTTAACACTCGTCTACATTTGTTAAACTTGTAGATTTGTTCGTAGCTAAAAAATTGAATATCTGTCTATCTGTCTCACATCTATCTAACATCTACCCATCTATCTGGGATTGGTTGATATTGATAGTTTGTTCTTTCTCTTTCCAAAAGCTGAAGGGCCATATTTGGAACAAAACATTCTGAAGGAGATCCATCTATGTTAAGATTTAGTACCAGTTAGATGGTGCATCATCAGAAGTTCCTTCCATATTTTCAGCTGATCCAGGAACAGGAATCACATTCAATCTTCTAGACATACTCTATATCAGGGGTGTCAAACTCGCGGCATCATCACATGATGTATCATGACTTTTTTCCTTTTTACTAAACTGGGCATGGGTGTGGCCAGCACATGACACATCCAGACCATGGGCTGTGAGTTTGACAACCCTGCTCTCCATGGTGCTTAACATTGTAACAACAAGCAAAGACAAAGGCTTCATTGGGAACAGCATCCTGTGCCCTGACTTTTAATTTTTATGGGTTGCTCCTGTTTATGTTTTTATGTAGATTAAGCAACCCTATTTATAATGAAGGCATGTAAACCTTATTGCATTGAACATCATGTTTGGTGGGAGATTGGATTACTTTTATCTTCACATTGGTCCACAAATGTAAGTTTATTTATTCAATTTATTCACCCATCTCACATAGTGACTCTGGACAACTTACAGTGGGTAAAAACAGCACAAAACATAGTGTAAAATATAGCAACACATTAATCAGCCAAGAGACTAAGGCTGATTAAACTACATAATACATGAAGGAATTAAAGATAAGCAACTTATACATTAAATGTATATATTCGCACAAAATTGTATATATTTGTAAATATGTACAAAAGATAGAAATGGATGAGATGGATGTCACAAAACAGTTAATGACATGATACTCATTTTTTATTATTTTTAAAATATACAAAAGACTAATCAAGTTTATTTAAAAAATAAATAAAAAAATAAACTACATAATACATTATAGTCTTCCAGTAACCCTCTGGCCCCCAAGCCTGAGAACCTAATCAGATCTTCATGGCCACTCCCTAAAATTGGTATGGATTGTACCAATCTAATCTCAAAGTGACCCATATTCCATATGGACTGGCAACACTGAAAAGTTCCTCTTCTTTGTTCCCATAATATGACATTCTTTGACTAACAGGTTCTGCATCATACTTCCCTTTCTAGATCAAAAGGACAGGGAGAAATGCCTGAGAAAAGGTTTGCCTGCAAATAATGTGATAATTATTGATGATTTAACAATGGTAGGAACTGATGCTGTAAATACAAAAAGAAAGAAAAGTGGTCACTGTCCCTTTATGTGATGAACATGCTATGTTAATTTTATAATGTTAAAACTATTCCTGATTCATTTAATTATTATTCCAGAAGACTAATTTATAGCCAGATTGTGAGAAGAAAATGAAGAGAATTAAACTGAGATTACATGAACAATGTTCTGTTGCTAGTAACCCTGTTACATCTTTCATGTCTAATTAAATATTCTTTTGAAGAAGAAAAAAAACTAAAGTTGCTTGCTTAAAGTGCACTTCGACTTACACTTTAATTTGAATTGAAGGAGTTATTTACTCAGTACTGAGATATTTTCAAATTTTTCAAATTTGTCCAGTTTTGTCCTTTCTCAGGTGTGGCTTCTCCTGGCTTCATTTCTCGATCATCAGTTCATCTTTCATTTTAAGTTTGCACATCCAGATATTATGGATTTAAGCACAAGTAAGATAACATTTGAGATGATTAAACACTTTAAACCATTAAGTATGTTCAGATCTACTGCTACAAATTCCAAATTCCTGTTCCATTGAAACCCAAAACTCATTTTGAGATACTGGCAGCAGTAGCACTTTATTGATTAGCCATATGGCCAGAGCAAAATAGAAAAAATAAATAAAATCATATGTAACAGTATGACTAAAAACAAAATTCCAGATCATATATCTTTCATCACCCACACAATTTACCTCAATCAGATCTAGTTGGACAGTTCTCAATTGACCAAAAGCCATTTTATATGAGATGTTTGAGCTCTGACTTCACATAAAACATTTTGTTCTGAAATGTGGGTCTCAGTAGGCTATAACAATCTCTTCTTATTCTACACAATTGATGCTCAAGTAACATATAAGTTATATTATTTAAAATGATTAATACCTGTGAGATCAAAAATGTCTACTAATCCTTAATCACACTCTTATTATCAATTAGGATTTATTCATTCATAATCTAACCATTATTTATGTTTTTATTTTTTACAGTGGTTTAGTTCCCTGCATATGCATTTATCTGTTTGATTGATTGGAATCTGTCTAAGTTTCCAAAAAAACCCTCATGAATCTGTTAATATTTTACAGTGAGAGAGGAAGGAAGGGGGGAAGAAAGGAAGGAAGGGGGAAAAGGAGGGAGAATATTGTTTTTAAAAATCAGGAGATTGGCACAAGTTTCAGTCTAAGGGTTATACAGTATTTTCAGTATGTTACAGCTCACTTCCAATGGAATGGGTAAACTGAAATAAGATTTAGATTGGGACGAAATGGAAAGAAACACATTGCATGCACTTATGCAATTGCAGATTATTTATGTCCATGAACACACTGAGTTTATTAATTAACAATTATGTTTGTTGAGACTGTTTGTAGTAATCCGATACCTTTTCATGTATGTGAATTCGGCAATCTCTCATTTAGTCATGCTGATAAAGTTTCCCCTTCCCCCACATGTTGAGAACTGGACATTTGTTTCTTACAGCTAGTAGTTTAGCAATCATTGAAGTTACAAAAACACTGGAAAAAGTGACTTACAATTGATCCTTTCACTTATGGCCTTTGCAGCATCCCCACCCTATTGGGTGCTTGGCAATTGGTACTGATTTACAATGGTTGCAGCATCCCATGGTCATATGATCACCATTTGCGACCTTCCCAGCTATCTGCTGGCAAGTGAAGTCAATGTGGAAAGCTGGATTTACTTAATGATGACATGATTTGCTTAACAACTGCAGTGATTCGCAATCATAACAAAAAAAAAATCACAAAACTGGGCACAAGTCACTTTATAACTGTCTTACTTAGCAATGGAAATGTCCTTGTCCTATATGAGTGTACATTATTAATAATATGTTTGACTAGTTTAAGCTATGAGCTGTAGATGACAAATAGTGATGTTCTTTTATTCTGTTTTGACTCTGTCTTTATAAAGATCATTTTTGGAAATTGGTTCTATTGTTTTTCCTGTAATGTCTTGGGTGACTGCTAGCCTATTTATTTGTTTGTTTTTAATGGTGCAGTACTTCTTTTCCAGTTCAGGAGCATTTTGTGTCATTTTTTAAAAAAATGTATTCCATGTTAGATATTCCTGACATCAGAAATCACTGAATGCATCCTGTCCCCTCTTGCTTTGAGATAAATAATTCAACTTGTTAACTAGATTGAGACCTCAGGTTATATATTCAGTGAAGGGTCCTTGATGCTCTCTGCGCTTGGTTGTTTTCTTGCAGACATTTCATTACCCAAACTAGGCAACATCATCAATGCTAGTTTTCTGGCATTGATGATGTTACCTACTTTAGGTAATAAAACATCTGCAAGAAAACAACCAAGATCAGAGAGCACCAAGGACCCTTCATTTCAACCTTGAGTTACAAATGTTCTCCTTTATTGCTCTATATTCAGTAGAGTAGGCTTCTCATCTTCCTTTTTTTTCATTTATTTTTATAGCAAATACACATACCAATAGCTAGATACCAATATATTATTTGATTTTACTCTGTTCCATTACAGTCCACTGTACTCCATTTCCACTCATTTTATTTTATTTTATTTTATTCTAATGTATTATTACCATAATGTAGCTCTCATGATTTTTATTGTTGTTGTGCCTAATAATATTAACTTTTACAATATATGCTATTTATAAAATATTTATTATATTTCATACATCTTAAAATATTAATTATATAATAACTATTTATAAAACAGTTATTTATAATTATTTTGAAAATCCTAAATTAAAGATCAGCAACTAAAAGTAGAATGACTATGGCAAAAGAAAGAAAAGATAGCATGAAGAGTAAAGGGACCTTAAGTGAAATTTCAAACATCTAGAGCACCATTTGAATACATTGACAAAATCATCATTAGTCAATTGTAAAAAGCAGCTTTACTTGGAGTAGTTTACAAACTGGAAACAATACCTTTAATATTATTAAACAAAAATATCTGCCCATTACAGTTCCTTGGGAAGGATTTGATAGGTGGACAAAATTGCTGAATCCAGCCTAAACATCTGGTTCATGGTGTGCCAACCATAACAACTATAGTAGTAATGTCAGATCAAGAGTATGTTTATCCCACCAAGCTAGAATATTTTATATAATTCTTAAAGTAATATTCTTTAGAATAGAGTACATTTCAAAAGTGAACTTTTAGATAGCACAGTTGTTGAATAAAGACTTGTGTAGCCACTAAGATGGGATCAGCAATCCATGACTGCATGTAGTTTCCCTTTCCCCATTTCTTGTCTCCAGCAGTCTAAAATTGTACTGCTGGAATTAATACCTGAATCATTCATATTACATGGATGACATATGGCATAAAAATTGTTCAAACAAACAACCTCAACTACTGAACTTCTGTTTAAACATTTCCTGGAATAAAAATTCAAAAACATTTTGTCTTGATCTTATTTCTTTTAGTCTGGTCTTCCTTCTGGTGGTATATTGTTGATTTTCTTACATACTTATTGTGAAACTAAAAAAGGTGGTATCACCAATAATGGAGGCATGATCTCTGCAAGCAATCCATTACATATATGGCAGAGCAAATGGCTCGATCTTCTGAAAACCATCTATACTTTTTATTTCAGGGTTTAAGAAAGACTACATAGCATCCCATAGACCATCAAAACTTCAAAAACAAATCAATGTATGGCGTACTTCCCAAGGTCTGACTTTGGGTTTTATTGTAACTCCAATGGGAGTGATGTTGTAAAACACCATGCTTTGTTGCTTTCCCCTACAACATTTTTATCTTTGATATGTTGTACCCTTCAAAACAATAGGGAGATATTGAATCCTTGCCCCCAATCTCTCTTTTTGCACTATAGAGTCCAGTTCTGCTGCCATCCCAGAATGGTTGAAAAAGAACTTTCACTCACAAAACATAGAAGAATAGAATTCTTTATTGGCCAAGGTGTGGTTGGACACACAAGGAATTTGTCTTGGTGCAAATAATCTCAGTATACATAAAACAAACGGTACATTCATCAAGAGTCAAGAAAAACATTTTGGGGATTTAATTTTAATTTGCTTTACTCTCTCAATTATCTGATTTAAATGGAGAGCATGGATAGCATTAGGGATAATAAATGTGCAAGTAGGGATAATAAATATGAAAGTATCATACTTACATGGATATGATCCCCGTACATGATACACCCAAGTCAATAAGAACAAAAGCCACAATTAAGAAGATCCAGCATGTTCAAACAAAATCCAGCATTTCTGAAATTGTTTCTATTCTGGAATCCTTTTCTCACAGATGTATTAAACCTTGAACACACATTTTATGAAATCCAAGTTTCATGAGTTAATCATGAAACTTAACTCATACAAACAACCTAGTTAAGTAAAATGGTCTTCTTGTGTCAAGCCTAGATGGTATTGAGTCTTGGTTTCCCATAGGAAATGTTTGGTGATTCATGCTTAATTAACAGGACTTCTGTCTTGTAACATATATGGGATAAAAGCATTGTGATCCTCCCATACCTTTATTAAAATGTTTTATTCAAAGTAAAGACAAGTTTAGCATTTTCTCCCAGATCCTTTTTTGATTATTTAATTTCCAGTTCTTTTACTTGATTGATCATCTTAAGCTTGTTTGTGACAACAGCAGCTGAAGAATTGTGGCCTGTTAGATTAAGGAAAAGTTTTTACAAGTCTGCCATTTGCCAAAAACAGTGACATGTTTTCAGTGGAAGTTCAAATAAACCCACAAAGTATATATTCCAAGATGCATCTCAATTTACTCTTCTGGTATACTTTAGTTACATATCTCTGGAGAATTGTCATTTATCTTCTTGATAAATTGGGTAACTTGCCAATATGATTTAAGAGCTCTATAGAATACTTCCTTAGATCTATTCTTGCTATTATTTAAGGTCTAGACCCAAGAGTTATCCATAAGTGGGATGATATATTTTATTATATAGGTGTACACACACACACACACACAAAATCTCTCTCTCTCTCTCTCCCCCCCCCTCTCTCTCTCTCTGTGTATTTGTGTGTATGTATATAGGCATATGATTTAGAATGTGCCATATACAAAAAGCTTTGTTTAAAAAAGTTAGAAGAGTAAAAGCTAAGTGTGGGTAAAAGTGACATATTTGTGACATAGATAAAGCCAGAATAAAAGAAATTATATGAGATAATGTATTTGTTACTAAGAGACTAATCTTTTGCAATTGTTAGATCTGGATTTGCATCCCCGTGGCTTTCTCTTTCTACTTTACCTATGGGGAATAAAACTGTACAATCTGTATCAATAAAAGGTTCAAAGCTTGAAGAAATGGAATTGCAGGAAGGAATAAATGGGGAAATGATGTATGGTTTAATTGATTATATGCCATCATGTCAGTGTTGATTCTTAGTGATCACATCGATAGATACCATCCAGGATGATCTATCCCCAAGTTTCACATCTTCCAATAATGCAACCCTCATTGGTATAATTGAGTTTACCTATCTTGCTGCTGGTCGTCCTTTTTCTCCCCATTTTCCATTTTTCCAGAATTATAGACATCTCCAGACACTTAAGTATTTTAATATTGTATCCAAAATCATTCTTAGCCTCAAGTTAAAATTCTGCTTTGAGGAGTTCATTTCTCTGGCTCTCCGTAGTATTCTCAAGTATTTTCTAAAATATCAAAGTTCAAAAGTTTCAACATTTTTCTATCCTAATTCTTCAGAGTTCAACTTTCACTTCCTCAAAAGCAATATACTACATAACTAACCATAAATGCAAGCCAATTGCCAAGCATCTAAACTGAGAGTGGTGTTATAGTTGTAATTTACTTTTACCAAGGTTGTCGTATTTTTGAACTTGTTAAATGAATGGTTGTAAGTTGAGAACTATCTGTAACTCAGTTCTTTTACTTCCTTGTACCACCAAAAACAGAATAATAGAATAACAGAGTTGGAGGAAACTTTGGAGGTCTTCTAGTCCAACCCCCTGATCAAGCAGGAAACCTTATGCTATTTCAGACAAATGGTTGTCCAATATTTTCTTAGAAACTTTCAGTGTTGGACCAAAGGTGATTTTTCAAGAGGCAACTGGACTTTCTGGTTTTTCTTTCGAAGACATTTCACTTCTTATCCAAGAAGCTTCTTTAGCTCTTACTGGATGGTGGATAATGGAAGAATTTACATTTCTTACAGACAGCTGGTCATTTGGATTCTTTGAAAAAGCATGTTTGGGACAACTATGACCTGGATGACTGAGAATCTCCATACATTGTTCCTTCTTGTTATTTGTGTCCTAAGTAGTAAACCAGGCAATTTCAATTTGCTAATTTTTAAAATGTGACTTTGTAGTCAATTCACTTAATCTGTCAATGTACATAACCTTTCCATAACCTAACCCCAAGCTGTTGAAAGTGTAAAAAGGAAAAAGGTACATATTTTCATATGTGGTGGACCTGCCCAGAGGTCAAGAAATATTGGGATATAATTTGATCATGGCTAGAAGAAATAACAAAACAGAAAACTGAACCCAAACCAGAACTATTTCTATTAGGCAAATAACAGAAAAATATAATAAAAGAGATAAATACATTATGCTACATATCTTAACAGCTGCTAGGTTATCCTACGCACAATTTTGGAAGCAGGAAACTACCATCAGAGGATGTTGTTATATAAAAAAAATTAAACTGTGTAGAGATGGACAGACTAACAATGAAATTAAGAGACAAAGAAGAGTTGATATATTATAATTAATTATAATTATAATGCCTGGGATGCCTGGTATGAATGGTTTAAGAATAAAAAGAAATCAAAATAACAGGTAAAGAATAAGAAACTATATAAATACTTATATATATATTCATATCTATATTTATTTATATATTAAGTTGAAATTGTATAATGAAAAAATGTGTATATAGAAAGATGACAAGGACATGTAAAAGATGTCTTGATGTTGATATAATGATGTATAAAGTTTTATGTTTTTAAATTTTGAAAACTAAATAAAATTTAATGAAAAATATATATAGTTTAAAAAAAATACATTTCATATTCCCACATATACTTGTCTTTTGCTAACTTCAGATTTTCTTTTTTTACATGGCAGCATCAGTACTAGATATCCATATTGGTTTTAGGTGGTAGCTGGCATGATCTCTATGTGTTGACTAGCCATTCATTTATGTCCCCAAGGAACATCTCCACTGTAAAAATTATGTGACAACAAGGCAATTACTTAACTGTATATATATTTAAACTTAGTTGCAGTTAAATTAAATATTGTGGCAAAGGCTTCATGACAGAAGAGTTTGAGAAAGACTTTGAAGAAAGAGTGTTGGCACCATGCAACTAAATTTAGAAGCACTTCCAATTGTTGAGAGCATCAAGAAAGAATATGCTACTATTCAAGTATTTATTCTTCAGCTTTACATAAAAGTTGGAAAAGCTATTTTAATAAAGTTGATTTAATTTTTACTAATAGTTAGCCTATATTTGATCACATTCATTAGAAGAAAATATTTATCGTATTCCAATATGCCGCCAACAGAGTGGTTAGAATGCAGTATTGCAGGCTACTTCTGCTGACTGCTGGCTGCCTGAAATTTGGCAGTTCAAATCTCACCAGGCTCATGGTTGACTTAGGCTTCCATCCTTCCGAGGTCAGTAAAATGAAGACAGATTGTTGGGGGCAATATGCTGACTGCTTAGAGAGGGCTGTAAAAGCACTGTGAAGTGGTATGTAAGTCTAAGTGCTATTGCTATAAGGTAAAATCATCATATAGCTTTAGGTTATAAGTCAATAATTTCTCCTTTTTACCATTCCTGTGTGTTGTATTAATGTCTATGGCCAGGAATATATATTTGTATCCCTTCCAAATGGCCTCTAACAATCTATTTTTTTAAAAAAAAAATCTACTTTTGTTTTTCTGCAATGATACAATTCATTTTGAATACTAATTACATCTTATAGGCTTTGGTTTTTATATTATTTTACTCAATAGATGTTATAAAATAAAGGAAGTGCATGTGTTTTATACTTGCACAATTGTATAACAGTGATTGTTTAGTTGAATGTAGGAGTGGTAGAGATCAGACGTGGTATTCAGCAGGTTCCAACCAGTTCTGGAGAACCACTAGGGAAATTTTGAGTAGTTCAGAGAACTAGAAAATACCACCTCTGACTGGAAATTTTACAGTATCCTTCCCCTGCCACGCCCACCAAGCCATGCCCACAGAACTAGTAGTAAAAAAATGTGAATCCTACCACTAGTAGAGATGAAATTTGACATTGTTCTGGATAATCATTGTTTAAACATAATTTAGAAATTTTGCTTAGCTTTACTGTTGTACGTGGGAATAAAAAAAATGCTTTGTGAACACGCAAAGACTAGAATTAATCCCTTCAATGTTGATTATGGATAAAAAAAGAATATTGCTTAATTTTGTGCTCTTTAATATTATCTTGATTTTAAAAAACTTGATTTTATTTAAAATAGAAGTTTTACCCATTGTGTTCTGATTAGATGTCTACATCGAAACATATTCAGACACCATAAATAACTGTTTAATGTTTAATCTGTAAAAAGAATCTTCAGTTTACTATGAAGGTGAATTGATATATAAAGTAAAACTTATGTATAAAAATAATTTACTTTAGGGAGGGATGGTATTCTTAATTTATACAAAGCATAGTAAGCAGACCCCAGTAGAGATTGTAATTGACTTTAATTAAGACTTTCTGTCTACATTCTGCAATGTTTTTCAAGTTGATATTTCATCCTTTTTGTATCACATTTATGTTTTTTTGCATCAGTTTGCTTCTGCATTTTTGATTATCACTTTTTAAAATAATTTCCTTCAATTTATGGTTACTTTTAAAATATTTTCTTACTCAAGTTTTTTTTTAATAGGAAATGAATCATAAATATAAAGAAGTGAAAATCTATGTTCTACCTTGAAAAACTGTTCAGCGTGGTTTTGTGGATCAAGCCAGTGATTTTGCTTTTGTGGAAGCTGTTGGCTGTCAGTACTTTGGTCAGGGTGCATAGTTCAGTCTTTATGTGTGCTTTGTCTGCCAGGTGTTTGGTTCTAGTAATTAGTGTTTTGGCCATGGAGTTTATCTGTGCTGGGTGGTGGTGGGATTGGGCATTGAGGTAGCGGTTGGTGTGTGTTTTCTTCTGGTATATGGCGTGTCCTAGTGTGCCATCTGGTTTTTTTTTTTTTTTTTTTTGTAGATTAGTACATCTAGAAATGGTAGTTGTTTGGTTCCGTTTCCATGGTGAATTTGATTTTGAGATGTGTGATGTTTAGGTGCGTTAGGAAATTGTTTAGGTTTTCTTTTCCATGGGGCCAAATTTGTTAATGTCTTATCAATGTATCTTAGCCATAGTTTGGGTTTGTGGGTGGCATTTGCCAGGGTTCTGGATTCAAATTCTTCCATGAACAGGTTTGCAATAACGGGTGACAGTGGTGATCCAATGGGGGCTCCTTCAATCTGCTTGTATCTTTGTCTTTTCTATATGAAATATGTGTTGGTTAAGCAGTGTTCTGCTAGTTCCATGAGGTGTTTGGGTGTTTGGTATTTGTTTTTTATTATTTCTAGAGTTTCTTTCACAGGGACTTAAGTGAATAGTGAAACCATCTCGAAACTTAAAAGCAGATCTTTTTATTCCATGTGCAGGCCTTTGATCATTTCCAAGAGATGATATAAGTTTTGTACATATGAAGCTGCTGCTTCAGCAAGGGGCTGTAGCTGCTTAGCTAGGTATTTTGCTAGGTTTTGTAGTGGTGCTCCTCCAGAGCTGACTATGAGTCTCAAAGGTATGCCTTCCTCGTGTATTTTGGGGAGGCCGTATAGTTTGGGACATCTGGAAGATTTTTCTCTTGGGATAATCGTCTGCTGGATCTCTTTGCTTATGTAGCTGGTTATGATTTTCTTCTTGGTTGTTTTTTCCAGATATGTGGTTGGATCCATGTTTATGGGTTTGTATGTGGAGTCTTGGAGTAGGTCTGTCAGTTTTGTTTCATAGTCTTTTCTGTCCATTACTACTGTAGCATCCCCTTTATCTGCTGGAAGTATGATTATGCTGCTGTCGTTCTTTAGGGCTCTTTGTTCTTTCTTGTGTAAGTTGCTTTTGGGTGGTTTGCTTGTGCATAGGATGTTAGTAACTTAATGTCTTATTCTATCAGCTTCATCTGTATTTAGTTTAGTTAGACTGGATTCCACTCTGCATATTGTGGGAACTATGATTCTTTGTTCTTTGTGTACGTCCTAGGACAACGGAGCCTTCTGGTAGTTGGCTGGAACATGAAGCAAGGAGCAAGGACAAATTGTTGCCATTTCTTAACCAGAACTGTAGCAAACTTAAACTCTGCAGCCTTGTATGCTTTATGCGAATGATCAGTGCATGTTGTGTGATGTAATGCGTTTGTGATAGGACGTTAACAAAATTGCTACGTTAACAAAGATTGCTTCTAATAAAAGAAGGTTTCGGAGTTCTCTCTGGGCTCTCATCCCAAGACAACTTTGCGAAGTGTCTTCTTTTCATGAGAGACCACCACAACTGGTGACCCCGACATGATCCACTCAAAAGAGATACGTCTTTGGCACACCCATTCTCATCGTCTGGAATAGACTTGGTGCACCTCATCCGCTTGAATTGCTGGCGACAACGGATCCCTCGTGAGTATGGGTGGTAGATTCTCTAAGGAGCAGGCAGCTCACATTCAGGAAATCAGAGAATTGACCAAACGAAATTTTTTTACCTTTAAAAACGGGGGCTCCCTTCATGCCCCCCTCCCAAAAACCTCTATTGAGGAACTCCTAGAATACATTTGGCAACGCTGCTCTTTTTATCCGGCTAAAGGCAGTATCAAAACTACAGTATGGAAGGAGATTGAAAAATACCTTCATGCAAGTCCTAGGGCCCCTTCATCTATATTAATTGCTTGGAGGGTGGTTTTTGAGTCTCTCTCCTCTCTAAAGCAACCCCTACTTGGCCCCCTTTCTGGACCCCCTCCCTATGTTAATCCTGCTGTACAACTCTTGCCCCCCACTGTGGTGCCTGTGTCTCTTAAACCGACTGCCCCCCCGGAGGCAAATGAGGTCGGTAAACCTCCCCCCCTTCTCCTGACCACCCCTCACCCAATCCCTCTTCTTCTCTTGCTTTCCCTTCTGTGCCTTCCTCTCCTGCCTTACCCCCT